ATTTCTTTTTAAAAGTGTATTTCTCTACGTAGATAATACTAATACATTTCTTTTTAAAAGTGTATTTCTTGGGTGAAATAAAATCTTTCACCTTTATTTTCCTTCTATAGGTCCTTGGTCTGCTGTCTTTTTTCTATGTGACAGCCTTTTTAGAATATTAAACGTCAAATCTTATATATCTGATTTATTTTACTTTTTCCCTTAAGAAATAGCAACAGGGCCCTCCCTGGTGGCACAACGGGTTAAGCTGCAGCACCGTTTCAGCACCAGTTCGATCCTTCACCCTGGATGGTGAAGCAGACCTCTCCTGACCTGCCCGCTGCTCCCCTCAGCAGTGTACTTCCTCAGTGGGCCTGTTCTGCTCCTGACTCTGTCTCTGGTGAAAACGCTCACCACTCCTGCCCCTTTGGCCTGTAACCCAGTTCTGTATGCATAAATAAATAAAAAGGAAAGAAAGGAATAGCAACAGTTCTTCATAATCTTCATATCATCTATCATATAGGACACTGCTTATAAGATACACCATGGTTTCTATCCCAGAATGAGAAACTACACATATTTGACTGGCAAGTACAGAAATCAAATGTGGACAAGACGTTAAGTGTGGGAGGTAAAGGGTGAATGGGTAAAAGGGATACAGCTAATAAGATAATCCTGAAGAAACGTTAATACAAGGCCATGCGGTCAAAAAATATATTTAAACAATTGTCCCAGAAATCCTTACAGATACTTTTTTTTTTCTTTTTAGGTATTTAATAGCAGAGATTTTATGGTAAGACCATTTGGTTTCAATAGACAATTGCACAGTAGTGTAAGTGTGTGATGTTGGATCAACCTCACTAACTCCCTGAGTGGAAAGTGGGAAAATAATCATAAATTTTAACTTAAATAAGTTAGTACATGTAAATCTACTCAGTGGTAGTTAATAGTATATCAATAAATATTAGTTTATGATTTAATTTCTTAATTAAAACAAATTATTAAAGTAAGATTTGTTTACAACACCCTATCTGATTCCAAAATACAGGATTCCACTTCTTCAGATGTATGTCACCACTTCATGCCCACCACTAAGTCACCTGCAGTACTCCACCACAGTCCATGTGATTTTCATTTTCATAGCAATAAAAATAATAGATTTCCAGTTGGAAAAAACAGATGCTGACGATAAAAAGGAAACTACTGATTCCACTGTTTTGCATGGGGGAAAGAGAATGATACCCATAATGTTACTGAATTTATTGTCAGCATTCCATAGGCAGAATTTTGTCCCAATAACTGGAGATACATAGTATTTAGTAATGTCTTTTGGGGAGACTGGGAAAGAGGCAATTTGAAAAATAATTCTAATCCTTTGCTGGAATTTTCATCTTTGATGATTATAAATATGATTTTGAGGTAGCAGCTGTCAAAGATGAGGTCACAAGTTAGTAGTGGTCAAACTAACATAAAGTTCTTGAAACAAAATTGCTAGAATGAGTTATCAGTAGTATCTGCTAATGGTTGAAATGTGAAAATTTCAACTTATATAAATGATGACATAGCTTACGCATTATGCATTCAATATAGACTTGTACTTCATGTAGATTTACATTTAATATACAAATAATAATGAAAAAATGCATAAAATATGTAGTCATTTATAAAAATGAAATAATTGAGTATTGGGATTTTTTAATGTTTACTTTATGAAATAGCAGACTACAATCACCTTGTGTTTTCACTTGTTTTGCTTCCATCAGAATTTTTGAGTACTAATAAGTCAATGAAAAATAACTTCTAATAACAACTATGTTTTATGCATCTACTATGTAGTAGGTAACGAATAATGGGCCTTAGGTAAATCGTGTTATTCAAACTTGCCCCAAATCATGAGATAATTAAGTTCCAGTTCTCTCCCATTTGACAAATGAGGATAACTCTGATACTAAGTAATCTGACTTAGACTTGGAGTTAAATGAATCAGATTGGTATTCAGGTTTGTCTGAGTCTCAAATTTATGCCCTTATCAAACTTATGCCCTTATCAAATTTAAGCCCTTTGTATAATGATTTTAATCAGGAAAAAGTAAGATTAGATATTTGCATAAACTAGAAAATAATTCTCAAATATCTATGCCCTGCTTTTACATGTTATAAGTTGGAAATGTTTAGAAATCCCAGTGATTAAAGGGATTAATTAAAAGGAATGTGGTTCATAGGCATTTTCCTAAGAGTTATAAGTTCCTTTCTTAATTTATCTTGGTTTTCTTTATATGCTTCTTGTGAAGAGTTCTAAAACTCTGGGGGTCTGCCCTGAGTTGCAGGATTTGGAAGATCTCTGCAGGGACTTCGCTGGGAACGGGAGACCAGCCCGCGCTTCATCCATGCCCTGCGCCCTCAGCCTCATGAAAAGCTGTCCTTAATTTTTATTGTTTTCTGATTCTTTTCAGAAAGTGGCTACTGGGAAAACTGAAGTTTGGACCCTGAACCTTGCTTGGTGGAATGGGAAGACAATCAATATTAAGATTGTGGGCAGAAGTAGAAACAGTTCAAAATATAGACCAACAGGATATAAAGAGTTTTACTTGTCTCTCATTGATGAGGTCTCTTTTCTTTATCTTCTGCTTCAATCTGAAACTCTGATTGTAATAATATTTGGTAGCTTTTCCAATTCTCTTTCCATTAGAAGCTCTATAATTACTAAAATTGAAATCATTTGCACTGTTCAACATATCACTCTTGCTGAATGATGGGAAGAGGCTATGAAGTACATGCATGCACTAATTGCTTGGATAAATACTAACTGAACTAATAACCCAATATCTTCTGTGAATCTACTGTGTCCAGGTGCCATGCAATGAGTCTTATATAAGTCACCTAATCTAGTCAGCAACCATAGGACATAATTCAGGGAGAAGCAATGACTGAGAATGAGTACAATTTAATTTTAAAAGAGATTCGCAATTTGCCTGATCTAACAATAGATTCTCAACACTCTTGTAGTTCAAATTAAAAACACATAACGATATTAATTCATTAATTTTGACATGAGAAGGAAAGAGAGATGGTTTCAAAGAACTTGTAATCTGGAGTCCATGAATTCAATTAATTCATTAATTGCTATTTTTCAAGCAATTCACTTCAAGTCCACACTTCAAGTCCTCTGTGGAAAGCTAGTTACCCTAGAACTGAGACTATAAGTTATTTATACATAACATTTAGAGGATCTAACATCTTTATCCTAGTTTCCTTAATGGTTTACACCACTTACTTTTGAGATATATGTTACTGTTTGCCTGTTTAGAGTATTTATCCATTTTTGCACTTGACACACCCAGATTTCCTTATAAATCCCCTCCAATGTGTCTGGTTTCCTATCCCTGCCACATAGACAAGTAGTCAGCAACAAAAAGTCCCAAATGTAGGAAGTGTGAACCAGAAAAGGAAATGGGTAAAGACCAAGCTATTTGTGATCTGACCCATCCTGCTATGAATGGAAGACCCGAGCCATTTCATTTGCTGGAGACTGCTGTGTGAAATTCAAACTTTCCCAAAGGAAATTGAAAAAAACTACAGCCATGTTCCACCTCACCTCATGTGCTGATGAAGGCAGTTATCCCTGTAAATTTCATGCACACTGATTATGTTCACTACATAGCTTCATGTGGAAAACCTGCCATGTACATGGCCACGTGCACTGGGATAAACATGTGTAAATCACTTTCTTTCTCACCACTGATCCATGATGTGAACATAATGTTCCCTTTTCTTACTTTAGATGCCTTAAAATTTTGTGTTGCATTCCTGCTCACTGCTTCACATCAGTGTAAAATAACCTCACTGCAAAAAAAAAAAAACATATATATATATATATATATATGGTCATAATCATGTACCTGGAGCTTAGCAATAAGGATGATGTGAAATCTGTTGATAATGAATCTGAGTTTCTGAGCTGGAAAGTTAATTTTTTCATTAACATTTCTAGTCAAATGGCAGTGGAACTGTCACTTCAGCAGGCTTTGTTTCATCTGAAAATAACAGTAAGTTTTTCATCAATTAAAAAATATGAAAAAGATTCTTCTTGTGGGTATTTTGGTACTGGATATCAAAAATACTAGCTAATACTAATTTAGGATATTATCTTCCAGGCAAGACATTAAGAACTTGGGTACATGAATGGTTACAGCAGTGGGAGGTAGTAACTCTTTAGAAAGGTTAAGTGACTTGACCAACTAATACAGCTGGCAAGTTGAACAAAAAAGGATTTAACAGAGAACAGTTTCTCTCCAGGATTTGACTTCTTAACTGCTGTTTTCCTAAAAAACAACAACCACTAAGTTTGTATTCTCTGCTTACGGCCTCATTTTCAATGAAAGAGAGATAAATACAGACATACAGAGGCAAGTAAAACATTAATGAAGATAGCAAATCATAGATGCAAACCACTGTAAAACAAAACACGAAAACATAATACAAAGGAGAGGATAATCTCTAGTGGGAGAGTAACAGTCATTCTGTCTTAGAGAGAGCCCCTGTTACTTCAACTATTAATTTTCCTCCACCTTGTATGAACCCTTCTCTGTAATAGACACTGTCCACTCCTCATTTCTTTTTATCTTCTTATAAAAAGTAGATATCTTGATGCATTATGGTGATATATGACTACCTGGGATAAAGACTAAATATCAACATAAATTAATCTGGTGTAAAGAATATAAATAGAAACAGGTGTAGAACTGAGAGTTTTTAAATCAGTCAAGATGCTGATCCAATCCTTTCACTTTCTTCCTTTCTGGGAGCTAGAAAGTGGAGTTAGATCAGTGTGCTTAACCACAAAGTAAATTGTGAGTAAAGGCTACCTATGAAGGAGCAATAAGCTCTATGAAATCTGGCAGAATGTATTGCTACGTTTTCCTTAGCATGTTCACCTCTGAAATGCTACCTCAAAGTGAAATAAGCAAATCTCATCCACTCTTGTACTAGTATTGGTCAAAATCTTGTAATTTTAGCTTTCTGACTCTGATACTGGACCAAATTCTAGTCAATATATGCTCTTTAGGGAGGTGGGATAATGGCAGTCATGAAAGTAGGCATCATTAACTTATCATCCTGTTAAGTTCTTTCATTAATTTTTTGTGTTTATTAAAGACTTGGCGTCTGACCCTTTGGTAGATTTCCACCCTAACTCTTACCATCATATACAACTTCAGTGTTCCAAGATTTTATCTGCTTGGGTAAAACCCTATTACCCACACTATACCAATACATTACTTATCTATCTTCCCTAAAATGGTCCTCTGAGAAGGCCTGGAAATAGCAATAATCACAGCTAGCTCTTAGATATTGATTTCTTCACACCATTCTCCACTAAAAAAAATAATTATCCTTGAATAAATGGTAAGTTTCAGATTTGTATAAAATAACATGTGCCTATATTTTCCTCTGCCAGAAGCAAAGAAGTTCTCAAAGAACACTGAGGACATGTCAAAGGGGAGTTGAAGTCAGCGTCCAGAAGGTCCCCAATGTTGATTGTCACTTCTGGGGTATCAAAATCGAGTTAATCTTCATTATTCACAGTTTCCATTTTCATGAATCCACCTGCTCACTAAATTTTGTTTGTAATTCAATGCCAAAGTTCATACCACTGTCACAGCCATTCACATGAATACAAAAAGCAGCCAAACATTTGAATAGACTGACATACACATTCTCAGCTGGGTCAAGCATGATGACTCTCTCCCTCCTTTCAGCTCTCATACTGTAAATGTGTCCTTTTCAGTCCATTTAGTGTCATGTTTTTCATACTTTGTACTTTTTGTTGATAAACTTTGGCAGTTTACAATGACTGCCAAGCATAGTGCTTGTGTTCCCATGCACAGAGATTGTTAAATATCTTAGGGAAAACAAATAATGTGTTAGCAGGGATTAAAGTCATTGTTATTAAGCTCTGATATGTTATCAAGCTATCACCAGTCACTGTGGCATGAGTTGGATCCTCAGCCAGGGAGATGACCCATGGTGGCGCAGACCTCTCCTGTCCATCCTGCTGCTCCCCTCAGCAGTGTATTTCAATACATCTGCCTTTTATGCTTCCCACTCTGTGTCTTGTTAATCCTCTTGACCTCCACACTTCTGGCCTGTACCATGGTGCTTGTATGCATCCATAAATAAATCTTAAAAAACAACAAATAGTGTGTTAGATAAGCTTCCATTGTGCATGAGCTACTGTACTATTGAATGTGACTTCAATATTAATGAAGTAATAAAATATATTAAATAAGATCCACTCTAACAAAAACAAGATTATTTATTGATCAGTTGATTAAAATGTTTTCCCTAAAGACTCACAGAAACCTAACTTCATATTTTGCTTGGTATTAAAGCTTGAATACTCATTCATTCAGAGTTCACAGTGACTTTATGGGACAGAAACCAATCATGAATAATTATAGAAATAATTTTAAATTACAACAGCAAAAGACATATAATCTATTGAATAAAATGGGGCACATTTGAATATAATTAAGTGAATTAACTGCAAGTCTGATGAAAAAGATAACCATGTTTATTATAGTCTGAGAATGGCTTCCTACCAGATATTTATTAATTAAAAGCATGTATATCCCCACCTGACAGGATGCATGAGAATATGCCGTCTCTTTTGTGGTATTCCTACAAAAATTGCTCATCCTGAATCTAATCATTAGGAAACACCAATAAGTCTCATAACTTCTCAGTTTATGAAACCAAAGAATGACTGAGGAACTCCTCCAGACAGCAGGACACCAAAATGACAGGACAACTTCATGCAATGCAAGATTCTAGCCTGAGTCATTTTATATAAAAAAATTTGCTATGGGGACAACTGGCAAAATTTGAATAGGATCAAAGGATTGATTAATCAGTTTTTGATGATCTGATCTTTATACAGGTTATGTAGAATTTCTGTTTATAGTAAACAGAAGGATTAGAGCATCCACTTGGCAACATACTCTCAAGAAGTTGAAAAAAAAAAAAGGAAACTGCACTATATTTCTAAGTTGTCTTTAAAAAACAAAAGGAAAGAAAAAAACCTTGTGATTACTTTGAAGTGTTTTAAAAATTAGACCTAGGCCCTCCCTGGTGGTGCAATGGATTAGGACGCAGCACTGCAAGCTGGACAAGCCGCTTCAATGCGAGTTCAATTCCAGCCTGCCCTCTGCTCCCCTCAGCAATGTACTTCGTTGATCTGCCTGTTCTACTCCCCACTCTGTCTCTGGTGAAGCCTCTCACTGCCCCTCCACTTCTAGCTTGTACTTCAGTTCTATATGAATAAATAAGTAAATCTTTTTTTAAAAAAAAAGACCAAGTGGTTGAAGTAAAAAAAAAAAAAATGTATATACCATATCTTCTACCATAAAAACTAATGTATCTAATGTATCTGTACCATTTTTAAATAATTTTATTTTATTTTTGCGTAGAACTGGGGTGTAGGCCTGAGGTGAGGGTTGGGAGCAGTGAGTTCAGTAGAAACAGAATGGAGGGCAGAACAGGCAGATGGACTGAAATACCCTGCTGAGGGGTTGGAGAGGTCTGCTGTACCATCTGGAACTCAGGCTATAGTGGTGAAAGAGCTTAAACTTAAGACCTACACCACCAGGGAGGCCCTATTCTTCTACCATTTGTCTTAA